AAGAAATCCATGAAAACACATGGACAATAAGTACACATGGTCAGATAAACATACATGCTGTATGGTCCCAGAAGTTGGGACTAGAAAAGAGGTAACGGTAGAGAAGGTATACAGGGGATGAGATCGATGGGAATATATTGTAAACATATGTAGAAATATAGCAATGAAATCCTCTTCTCTGCTGGGTGCCAGTGACTCACGCCTGTAATCCTAGCTAGTCAGGAGGCTAAGATCTGAAGATTACGGTTTAAAGCCAGCCTGGGCAAAAAAAACTCCCCAAGACTCTTATCTCTAATTAACCACTCAAAATCTAGAAGTAAAGCTGTGGTACAAGTGGTAGAATGCTAATGTTGAGCACAAAAAGGCTCAGAGACAGCTCCCAGGAGCTGAATTTTAGCCCCACAACCAAAAAAAGCAAACCAAACCAAACCAAAACCTAAATCCTCCTCTCTCTATAATAATAATATAATAATAATAAAATAATTTTCCTTACCCCTAAAAAATACAAGCTTGAAAAAATCCAACAAAAATTAGACAATAAGCTATAAACTATAGACATATTTTTCTTTATTTCTGAGACAAGGTTCTTACTATGTAGGCCTTGGCAGCCTTGAACTCATGAAATCCTCCTGCTTCTCATCCTGCATGCAGGGCTTGTAGCTGAGCACCAAGCCCTCACTGATCTAAAAGCTTTAGATTCAAACATGTCTTACGTTGACTCTTCAACTATACCAAACGTTCCGTTCCATCAGATTTTAAAAACAGGAGAATCTAGGAGTATATGGAAATCCTATACTTGTACTTTTCTTGTAAACATGAAACTGCTAAAAAAAAAAATCTATTAATTAAGCAGGTGCGTGGCTCCTGGCTATAATACTAGTTACACAAAGCCGAGATATTAGAAACCCAGTTCGGATCCAGCCTGAGCAGGAAAAGTCCCTGAGACTCTCATCTCCAATTAGCCACCCAAAAAAAAAGCCAGAAGTGAAGCTGTGGCTCAAGTGGTAGAAAATAGCCTTGAGCAAAAATGCCAAGCCAAGAGCCTGAGGCCCTGAATTCAAACTTTAGTTCTGGCAAAAAAAAGAAAAAAGAAAAAGAAAGAAAGAAAACAAAAACGAAACAGCTGTTTCCTATAATAGTTAAAACTCACTCTAGGAGTTAGGAGCTTAGCTAGGACCCAGAACAGGAGATTATCTGCAGACTCAAAGCCAGTTGTCCTGGTAGAGATGGAGGAGGAAATTCTGCAAACATATATCCTGTTTTGTGAAAAAGCAGAAAGCCTTTGTTTCTTCTTATTTGCCTTCACACCAAAATAAATTAACATCTTGAAGGTAGTATATTTGAGATGGATGGTAAAAAAGCAGAAAGCCTTTGTTTCTTATTTGCCTTCACACCAAAATAAATTAACATCTTGAAGGTAGTATATTTGAGATGGATGGTAGTCTCCTAAAGTATGCCTTTTTCTTTTATCTCCTATTGCAATTAATTGTTTTCAGCATCTTCTTATTCCTAAAAGACAAGTTAGAAGATAATCATAACAAAAGAAAAAAGGCTAGAAAAAGATGACATTCCACACTGAGCTCATGAAAATGAAGATATGACAAAGAATCTACTCCCTGGGGGCTGTGGCTTGTCTCAACACCTAAGCTTGGTAGCCCATAGCCTGTCCAAACTCGGGGCTCATATTATCTTTACTGCAATGGGCACCATACACACACTAAGTTTGGCTCTCACAACATAAGACATTCGTCCTATAGTCTATCTAAAATCAAAAGTGTTATTTCAGGAGACATTTCCTGGCCATCATTCTGTTCTGAGAAAAGCCCCCAGAGCAACTGGAAAAAATTGAGGTCCTTCCTGGTCTACTCCAGACTCCATTGTTAATACAAGCATCAAACATTGACATACTTCCAGTTTCTAGGTATGTTGTTGACTCTAATTTTCAAATGTTCCTATTGGCTATTTCCACTTTTTTTTTTGTCGGTCGTGGGGCTTGAACTCTGGGCCTGGGTGCTGTCCCTCAGCTCTTCAGCTCAAGGCGAGCGCTCTACCACTTGAGCTACAGCGCCACTTCCGGTTTTCTGGTGGTTAATTGGAGATAGGAGTCTCAGTCTTTCCTGCCTGGGCTGGCTCTGAACTGCGATCCTCAGATCTCAGCCTCCTGAGTAGCTAGGATTACAGGCGTGAGCCACCGGCGCCCGGCTATTTCCACTTTTAAAAAAGTCCCAAGTTACTATTTTCTAACAGGTAAAGCCATGGGTCACATGGTCACTGGCTCACACCTATCGGTAATCCTTAACTCTTCGGGAGGCAGAGATCTGAGGATCTTGGTTTGAAACTAGACCAAAAAGACAAATCAGAGAGTCACTTATCTCCAATTAACCAGCAAAAAGCTGAAAGTGGAGGTGTATCTCAAGGGGTCGTAGAATACCAGCCTTTAACAAAAATGCTCAGCAAGTGCATGGCCCTGAATTCAAATGGGAAAAATTAAGTGACCTACCAAACTCCATCCCCAATAAACTAACTTCCTCTGAAGGCCCCCTCAACGATGCAGCCATTGCTATATCCTTCAATAGGCATTCCTTCACAGTACTATATAGTTGGCAGGAATTTTTCCTCCCATTGATCTTTGTATATAAGTAAAAATTTAACACATAAGCAGACCTCTCATTCCCCCCCACCCTTTGGAACAGGTCTCAAACTGAGGGCCAGATTTATTTAAATCTGCTAACCACAAGACACATTTATCTGAGTTTGAGGTTCTTTCCTCTCCTATTTTGCCTGATCTATATACACCAAATTAAGCAAACAGCATGTTCACTCTCTGCCTATTTAGAAACCCAGCTTTGGTCTTCCATGTTTATAAAGCTATTTAAGGGTTACCTTTTGACACATTCAGGACATAACATATTATCTTCTAGTCCTGGGGTTGGGAATAAACAGGCTGGTAACAGGAAGAGAGAAATCATTGTCTTGCGAGAGTTGGGGACCCAGGTCTGACCTGCACAAAACTGCAGGCGCACCCATCCCTTCCCATCTGCTGGGAGAAGTCTGCCATGGACTACGCACCACCTGACACCTGGGGAAGAAGAGCAGGATCAAGATTAACTCTCACCTAGCCATGTACTGTGAACAGATCATTTGAATAAGATGTGTGAAATTAACATGCCAAGTCACTTTAAATTCATATACAACATGATACACATTGATTAATAAGTTACCTCTAGGTTTTGGCTAGGTAATTTGCTTGCATCAATATAGATGTATTTTTTCATTGCCTATGTGCAGTTAGGGATTGAACCCAGAGCCTTGGACATGACAGGCAAGTGTTCTACCACTAGGCTACCTCTCCAGCCTTAATGCATTGAGACACGGTCTTGTTATATAGCCTTGGCTGGTCTAAACTCCAGAACCTTGAGACTCTGCCTTCTGAACACTGGATTATTTACCATTTGCCAACCCAAAA